CCCCATGCTGACCTAAAATACCCAATCATCCTGAACACTGACCAAGTTCTCTTAGAACTGAAACCCCAAGACCAAGATGCAAAGAATGACTTGCCAGTTAAAGGACCTAATGGGTGGAATTTCTCCAAAATCGACACTGAAATAATTGAGCTAGGGCAAAACTTCTTCAAGAAACTTAAAAGGAAGCTTAAAAACCCAACCGCATTCAATCAGGATGAATTTTTGAAGTTTCTGGGTTCATATCTCGTGAATATTGCAGGGAAATTAGGCATTGCAAATAAGATTACTGAGTCTGATAAAGGTTATGTTGGTAAATTAGTTGGAAAATCCGGGCTTTTCATGGGCAGGGATGTGAAGGGGCTAGTTTTGGAGGCTTGTATTCTGCTGGAGTGTTGGGAGGTTTTAGAGAGTTTGATTGTTAACAGGCTTGTGGAGCACCCTCACTTTTCAAGCCTAATTAGTAATTTGATTGAAAAGAATAGGTCAGACTTAATTGTTTTGTGCATGAAGCATCTTTCTGATCTCCAGGCTTCTGATGTTATGAGCATTTTGAAGTACTTTCTTTCACTCCCTATAAACGGGCACACTAATATTCTCAGTGTCAGGAAAGAATGGGAAAGCCAGGCATTGCTGGCCATACAACAGTTGAAAGAGTGTGATGGCCAAGCACTCTTGGCGGTTGAGAAGGTGAAGGATAAAATCCTCAGGAAGCGATTGACACTGATAAGGGATGCTTCACTATTATTAATGATAGCATATGATGGGTTTTCTGGCACAGAGTTGTGTTTGCATTATCTGATATCGTCACGGAACTATGATGAAGTGATATTGGCTGCTTGTTTCAGTAGTTTAAATGGCTCAGAGATTATGCGTTTGGTTAGGTACTTGGGAAAGTGGCTGAAGAAGTATGAAAAGTTTCCTTATGTGAGTCCTTGTCCGGAGGCGTCCTCTGCTTTAGGTTTGACAGTTTGCGAGTGGATTCCCAGGGTTGAAGATATTGTCATATGCCTTGGCTTGGTACTTGATGAACACTTTTCTACTCTGGTCCTCCATCCAGAGTTCCATGAGGAATTGAAGTCTATAAACGAAACTGTGAACTCGTTAGCTGCAGAGGCCAGATTTTGTGCTATGTTGTCAAACTTAACTCATGCTTTGAGAGGAAATGCAAAGGTATGCGATTTTATATGATATTATTCAATTAATTTGCATTTCTTTTATTTTTTTCATACGAAATATGTTTACTGGCAATAATTGGGCCCTAAATAGATTTGAGAATGCAAAGGGATACTACTAATTATGGGATGGAATAAGGTGAATGTTTTACAATTACATTTGTTGTGCCATGTGCCTACCCCTTTAATTTTATGGGCTCATTAATTGTTAGTGTTAAAGCAATTATTTATAGACAAATTGCTCTTTTCTACTTATTACTCTGAATTGAAATGTAGATCCCAGAAAACTCAGTTGATATTTCTGATTCCATTTATTGACTCACTACTAGGATGCTAATCTGGACACCGGGACTGAAGCAACTGAATTTGAGGATAAGGTGAGAAGAAAGTACTATCCTCTTCAGGCTTATGGCATTCTTGTAATCTGCATTTCGGGCTTCCCTAAACCTGTACCCTCTGTTTTAATTATACAATGCTATTCGATATGGAAAAGGAATAAGGACGAGTGAACAAAGTAGTGAAAATGACACAAATATTTCATTCTTAGAAAAGAATCTAGTGGTCAGAATGCTTGTGTTTAATTAAAACACAAATCAAAGTTTTAGGAGTTTCTAACATTATATCATTATATTGGATGTCTATGTATAGGGGAAGTTATTGGGGTTCTGTTGACACTCAGTGACCCAGCCCCATTGTCATAATATGACTCTAGGTCCATTTGATGGCCTATGGTGCTCCATTCAACTCCGAATGAGTACCNTTGGATTGTCACCCATGGGGTAGGGTGTAGGAATCACTTTGGGGTCGAACGGAGCGCCATAGGGCCTTCAAATACACCGGTGTCATATTATGAAACCAGCCCTTTGATGTCAAAAGAACTGGGCTCGAGGGAATTTTAGTCCTTGCACCTCATGTTTACCCTCAACATTTGACTTTGCACTTTGTGATTTACCCTAAAATGGGATTTTGCACCCTACTATTGGGTCATTGGGTGCTTAGGGATGCATGTTCAGATAGAACAAACCAAAACAAAACATGAGGTGCAAAGACCAGCATTCTTGGTTAAACTATAATGTACGACGACATACATGCTTCTTTCATTTTGTATGTAAAACAATTTTGAATCTATTGAGATCTGATGTTGTCGTGTTGCCTTGGCAGGACATTTCATCTCCAAATGATGTCGTTGTTGTGACACGAACGCGGCTGTCCAAAACTATGAAATCTTTATGATCTCTATATGTATTCTATCTAGTCTGATTGGTTTTTGGATGGAACAAGTTTGACAACTCAATTCTTATGATGGTGCTTTCTAGGAGCTACTTCTTACACCTTTTTTTTTATTTAAAAAACACATTTGACAGTTATTTCTTCAACCTAGAAATGTAATAGAATAGGAATATCTTCATCTTGTTGTGTGGGTGTGATCATGTGATGAAACCATGTGCCTGTTTGGTGGCCTCTCAAGGTATCATTTTGATAATGTGTTTATTGTTTTATCTATATACTTTCCAAATTAGATTACTTGTTAAAGATTGCATATTGTTTACCATGTTTGATTAAAATTACTTTGTATTATAAATTCATTTTTTTAATAGAAAATTGGTATGAAATTTAGTAATAAAATTTACTTGTAGATATTTAAGAATTATATCAAAGGTTTTGTGAATCATGAGATATGATTATATTATTTTATTAAATGATTAATGAAAATGTGTTAGAAAAAGTGTTCAAATTTTAACCTTTTTAAATAGTGAATGTATAATGTAAATCGGGAGATATTGTCTAATTTGACTTTTGTAATCACACTCAACGAATTTTGATCATAAATAAAATAAATATTACTCCGTATATTGTATATTAATAAAATAAAATAAATTTTTAAAAATAACATGAGATCACAATAGCATAATACTCAATTAAATCATTTTTGTACTAATATAAAATGTACTTTTTATTAGTTGATGATCATAGTTCATACAGTTTGATTGTAGAAAAACAAATTGGACCTTAGACCGAGGCAAAGGTGGTAATTTATTTTCTCTTAGGTAGTGTTTGGAAACTAGCATTTCATTTCAATTCATTCATTTCAATTCCAAAATTTGAAATCTGGAATTTCAAATGACAAGGGGAGGTGCATGGATTTCAAATTAAGCTTTGTTTTGAATGTAAAGAATTTGATTCAAATCCAAATTCAAAATGCTTAAGTTTCCCAAACATGGAATTTAAATCAAATCCGGATTTGAAATCCAAATCCATGTTCCCAAACATACCATTATATCATTCAGAATTAGTTTTACACATGTTATATTTGGATAGCCAATGTATGGCAATAAATATTACTCAAAAGATTTGGTTACATACTACGTAGGAATTAACAAATGTTTCGAGACTCCGAGAGCGGAGAGACTAATTTGTTGCTTTATTATAATAGCAAATTCTATAATTGATCATTTATAACATTGAGAATTTTTATATTTAGTCTTTTATTATTAAATATCGTATTTTTTATGATATCTTTTCATAAATAATTTTTTTAATCTTCTGTCATATTGATGTTAATTTGAAAGACTAATAGTGTAATTTCATATCGATCCTGTGTTCAGTGAGGCAGTAATGTATTCTCATGTCGGATTGAAGGAAAATACAACAATAACAACTAAGGTTATGGACTAAGATTTCGACTAGAGACGATATATGTAGACTATGATTGTAGTAAACATCATTTCTCGTTGACAAACGACGCATCAACAGTGACCTTTGGCATTGGCTATTATGACAATAAAGACATATGATCATTATAAATTTATACTTTTAGCTCTTAATTTAACACCAACATGACAGAAGATAAACAAACTATTTCTAAAAGGTTAAAAAACCACGTGTATAATATTTGATAATAGAAGATCAATTATAGAATTTACTAATATTTAAGTGAAAAGTGTTTGAAAAGCGGACAATTAAATTAAAATGTTATCTTTACAGTTCAGCTTTGATTTTTCTTTATCAATGTCTCCATGTTAAATGGCATGTTTTTCAATTTTTCGTTCATCGTGATCAAACATTTATGTCTTGGTCTATAGTTTTTTTTATCAAGATGGAGGGGGGAGACCCCAATCTAACTCGTCAACGTATGAGTTTTCGTATTCACTCTACAGATGTTGGTGTATACTTAATTATTAATTATTGTATGTGTACTTTTTTGATGGGTTTCTCAATGTTACTGCTACCTTCTTTTGGTGGTCTAGTTCTCTATTTTGACTTGGGGTTCTCTTAGAATACTACAAGTATTATTGTAGAAACAAGATTTGCATAAATGCACACTTCCAATTGTTGTATGTGCTCATACCAGTAAAATGCGGTTGATATTACTCCATATTTGACTTCTCTAGCTAAATCTCAATTACAACTTTTATTTTATCAAATTTTGGGTCTCAAAACGGAGGACAAATCATTGCAGCAAAAGAGAAAAAAAAAAAACGAATATGAATATGAAAAATGATATATCATTTTTCAAATACGAATAAAATTTCATAATATTAGATTCGATTTGTTTGTTTTACAATCCTACCCCCAGATTGTATTACCATGGTGATATAATTTATTGCATTGTTTAAAAAAAGAAATTGTCTAGTTAAGCTGAGTACAAACTTGATCTATTACAGAGATAATTGCGCATGACTATACCCTAATTGAGTAGTTAGAATTTGTTTAGATGAGAGAAGTTTTGTGAGCCATATGTTCAATTAAAAAAAAATAAACAAAGTAGGAATCTTTTGAGGACATCCAAACATGGAAAATAATGAACTCGAAAAAAAGGACCCAAAAACCTACATGAAGTCTAAAGATAAATACTTCGTGACGCCCAGTATTAAATTAAAAGAACAGAACCTAATAATATTGGATTGACAAGAAGACACTCCGTATAAAGGGTAATTTCGACACATGAATTACATGAGCTAATAATTTATTATTTCTTATTGCAACTCCATTCACACTTTTGGCAATTGACTTCGTATATTTGTTGGGAAAACAGATGGTACAAGGGTGTCTTTAAATTCCAAGGAGCAATGCTAGAGAGAATAAAGACCAAAACAACCACACACACCTCATGAACTGCAGAAAACAAGAGTTGGAAATAATGGCATCAAATAGGATATGATTTCACCTGGGAGTTCCTCGGGCATTCATATCTGAGGGGAGTCTGAAGTCCCAGCATTTGGGCCATTCGTTCCTTCGATCCTATCCTTGCTGATTTCCAAGAAGTGACTCACTGTTTCATGGAACAGTTTCAGGCCAGACAATGGGAGAATGATGGAAGCGCGGTCAGGACCTGTCACCTGCATTTACATTATCGTGAGCTGTGTGTGAGATGATAGAGTATGGATCCTCTTTAGTAACTACAACCTCCGTCCTTGTGTACTGGTCCAGTTTGACTTTTTCGAGTCAAATTGGACAACTTTTGAGCTTCAATTACACTAGAGTATAGCCATTATTTGTATCCAAAAAGGACCCATTCTCGGAATAAACAAGTATGGTCTTGGTAATGGAGTAAAATGCAGTTTGTCCCCTAAGTAAGGAGGGATGGCAAAATAAGTCCCATTGGAATTTCTTTTTTCATAATTCAGACCCATTACATTCAAAATACCCCGAATATTGTCCCGGAACCATTTTGCAAGAATTACCCGAAAGCACGGTAAAATTTGGTGATACAGTGAATTGGTTTTATTTCCAAAAGTATATTTTTATGATTAAAAAATCGGGGTTTTTTTTTGTTTTGAGATCGAAAGAGCATCTTCATTCCACCAAAACAGAACAGCTTACAAGGGATCAGGCAATTAGGAACTTTATAGATGCATTTTTTCCATTTTTAAATCTAATAAAATTGCCATGTTCCAAATCCTCATTTTAAGCCATTTTGCTGGGAGATTTTGTCAATTTCTGTTAACTTCAGGAATAATTGTAATATCTTTGGAAGTAAAGGTCTAAATTATCAAAAAAAGGACTTAATTTTCTAACCACTATAGTTACAGGATAGAAAAAGCAGTTTACCCTGTAAATGAAGCAAAATAAAAATGCCAGTTCACACACTAATCTCCGACATGGTGTAAAATTTTCTTCTGGTAAAGAAATCGAACCTCAGATATTCTTAAGAAGTGGCCCCTATTGTTGTTGCCAAGATCAAAGAAGAACCTTTTCTGATCGACCCTGATTACTTTGGAAACCCCTGAGCTGCTAGCATCCTCAGGTGCTGGCAAATCAATTGGATTGTTTCCTTTCGAGTCAGAAGGTGTAGGTTGCGTGCTGCTTTGACGGGAATCACGGGATATAAAACAAGCACCCAGATCATCTGCAAGTCCTAGCTGATCTTGGATTTCAGAATTTTTCTGTTTAATAACAAAAGGCCAGTTAATGATTAACAAAAGAGAATGAGGAGTGTTACATAAATGGACTTTTGTAATATAAAGACCTCATTGGACAGAGTGGTAAGCCTTGAGGCTTCGTTTACTTCAGCCAGGATATTCCTAAAAGCAGACCAACCCTCATCCCGGGCAATACCAGCTGGAACTATAATGGTACTGCAGTTTCTGTTGGCTGAAGCTTCAGAAATCTACACACAAACAAGACAAAAGCTTCATTCAAAACAAAAAAAATTGTTGGCAAATAGATTGGGCAATTTCAACAATACACAACGATAGAAAAGGTATAGCCTTTTGGCTCACTTTGGGTGCTAAATATTGGATATGAAAGGTAAAAACCAAATGACTCTTCAGTTTTTCACACTGAACTCCTAGACTTTTGAAATGGTTGTCAACAGTCAATTAACCACGGAATATAAGAGAAGGTGACATACAATTAAAGAAAAAGAATATATTCTGACAATTAAGCTTATTCATGGCTCAAATTTATCCTTCATTTTTCTGCAACTATGGTTCTCATAAACAACGATGATTCTGGTAAACAACTCTGTTTTTTCAGCAGTAAAATAAACTTCTTTAGAGATTCACACTTCCAAGCTTCTGGTTCTTATAAGCAACTACAAAGTAATAACAAAGTAAAAGCATCGATAGGATGGAAATACAGTAAACCTTCAGAAAGCGGCCCCTTCTATTCTCACCAATATCAAAATAAAAGACCTGCAAAACGAAGAAGTATAGTGTTAACCAACAAACGATGAAAGAACAAAATTGAGAAGAAAAAAAGGGTGATGCCTTGGAATCAAGCTGGAGTTCTTTGCTTATGAGTTCCTGGTCGTCTGAATTGGCGTAGTAATTGAACAGATCAAGGAACCAGGAGATGCCGTTGGAGGGAACGATGATAGTCGACCGAGTGGATGAGGTTTTCTCGGAGATCTTCAGGTAGCGACCGCGCGGATTCTCCTTGAGATCGAAGTAGAACAGCTTGTGCTCCACCTGCAGCGTCTTGCAGAGGATCTCGACGTCATTCCCCCCGCCTACTCCGCCTCCGCCGCCGACGCCGGAACTCCCGTCCATCAAGTACTACCGACCTTCCGCCTCTTTACTCCCCCAAAAAAATCAGTGAAATTAACGAATCGATTCAGCTTAAAGTCTCAAAAATGGAGGAGATTGATCACTCACAACTCGGAATCTAACAAGAAACGCGATGAAAGATCAGAGATTGGTGCCGGAATTAGGGTTTGTGGATGACAATCCCAATTGCTCCCTTTTCTAGAAAGCTCAATACGGACGTCTGTTAGAAGTTAGAACCGTTATACTCCCTCCCAATATTAAAGTTCGCAAATTTTGGTCACTAGATAATTAAAATGAAGGTGGAAAACAATGAAAGATAGTGGAAAAAGTGACCTGTATTTATTTACTTTGATTTTTTTAGTTATGCGAGATAAATTTTAATTATTACTTAAATTAATACTTCGTACTCCGTATTACTATCTACGTCCATGAGTATTTGTCCAGTTTTGACTTTTTTTGGTCAACTGTTTTCAACCTTTGACTTATACTCCGTAATTAAATACTCCCTCCGTCCTATATCTTTCTTCCCATTGCGTAAAACGAAGAAAAATTCCAAGTTTTTTCAATCTATTTTATTTAAATATTGGTATAGAAATAAAAAATAAAACATACATATTTAAAAACTACATCAAAAGTTCAACAAAACAAGTGGTGACAAGAATATTTTATTTTATCATATAGGCCAAGAAAAAACACAAATAAATATAAATTCCCGTGAAGTTGGAATAGTGCTTTGGGAAGAAAGTTTTAGGACGGAGGGAGTAAAATATATATTGTATATTAATTAGATAAAATAATATTTTGAAAATGTTAGATATAATAAATCTAATAATACTATTTTTGTATCAATACCTAAATTTATTTTTATTTAATTTGAAGTCAAAGTTTATCAATTTCGATCGAAAAAAATAAAAAATAGACAAATACTTAGTACGTAATATGTATGATGTGTAAGGTATTTGATATTTTTCATACTATAGTCTTGTCTGAGAATAATGTTTGCGATTATTTTTAGCGTTTTGAATTTTTTTGTATGTAGATTACTTTTGAAAATATTATCTTTAAAACCTACCATTGCATAATCGTCATAAAAGGTTGAAGCTAAACGCCTACGGAAAATGCCAAATAGAGACTTCTTTAACAATTTATCTGATTTATCATTTTTACGTAATGAATATTTGATCAATAATCTAAGTTTCAAGGTCCCACTAATTTTGGCCCGAATATTAGGTTAGCACTTAAAATGAGTTAAATTGAACAATGATGTTAGTCTAGTTTAGAGAGATTCATATCTCTTCACAATATATGCAACAATTTTATGTTTAACATAATCATTTTTTTTGTTGCTATCAAGATTCAAATCATAATAAATTTATCAAGTCATTATCTTCTTAACCAATTGAATTACAGAATATGATAAAGAATTAGAAGTGTGTAACTTTAGCATTGGGTGTGATGTGTGAAGATCATTATTACATAAAACGTGAGAATATTTAATGCATTTGATTTAGGAGTATAGTTCGTCAATAAAATATTTGATTTAGAAATATAGTTCATCAATAATTTTTTATTGACTTTTGTTGAGACACACAAGTCAAAATACTCCCTTATACATTTGGGAGAAGATTACCCGCCACAAGCTCTAGTCTAGAAGTTTGTTGACCTTCATATTTTAAAAGAGCCTTCATATTTTAAAAGAGCCTGCTTCGGATTTGTAAAATTGATATTTTTACCTTTAATCTCATCCAATCCCCTCACTCCTCCTCTTACGTCTCAATTTATATCGATTGTTTCGGTTTACAATGTTTGAATTGAAATTATTTTTAAATCATTTTATATCAAAATAGTATAGAAGTAACAAATTAAAATTACATATTAAAATGCTACATCAAAAGATCTACAAAACTAGTAATGACATAATTATTTTATTATAAAATTTGCACTAAATAGCAGTAAAACATATGTCATTTCCTAATTTAGTACTTAAACTATTTTTATTCTCTAAACAGTACTTGAATAATGTGTAGTAGCGGGAACAATGTCCAGTGGTAGTAAATATTTACTTGAACAATGACCAGTGGACAATGACCAGAGGTACTACATTGGAAAATAAAAACATACTCCCTCCGTCCCGTTTTAAATCGCCCGATTTGACTTTTTGGCAAATTTAAGGAAAATTAAAAATAGAGTTGATTTTCTGAAATTGTCAATACTTTTTAGGAGGGATGATGATGAATGAGAACATTTTTTTGAATGCTATTGACTCTATTACAAGGTAGTATCTGTTCATACTATTCTCAAGCTAATGACTAATGACGCACAAAGAGCCAATGCTGCTGCCTTCGCTGGGGCTCGAACCTGGGTGAACTTCCCCATGAATCCTGGGGAGTGGGCTTGCTACCACTCAAGCCAGAGGAGAAGTTCTGATGAATGAGAATATAATGTGGAAAAGATTGACTTATTTTAGAGGTAGTTTAGGTATTTTATTTTTAAAAGTTTACGAAAACGAGTAACAGACAACTTATATTTTGTGACTGAGAATGTATGCAAGAGATGAATTTCAAAAACAAAGTACGTAGTAGTTGAAGAAAATCCAAATCTAAATTTGATTACCAATTCCTTTCATGGCGACTTATCTCCTCAATGGCAACAACCACTGAACCAGAGATGAAGACTCGTGTTCCAGTTATGTCCCTATTGTTCCTATTCACCATACTAATAACTTTCCGATCCAGCATCTTCTGTAGTGGAACCACATGTGTGGATGCTGAAAGACAATCGCTTTTGAGGTTGAAGGAAGATGTCGTTGAAGATCCTTTTAACAGACTTGCTTCTTGGATCCCTGGTGGAGACTGTTGCAAATGGGCTGATGTTGTCTGCAACAACATCACTGGTCATGTAATTGAGCTCCAACTTGGGAATCTCTTAGCTGATGAAGGGTCAATCTCTATGGGGGAGGTAAGTAATTAAACCCTTGTTTTGCTGATTTAAAGAAAGCATTACTTGGTCTTTATTGCTTCTTCTTTTTTTTTAAATTTGGGTGTTGAATCTCTCCATATATAACTATATAGATCTGTTGGGTGATACGAATGGGATAGGGAGCATTCTTCAAGCTCTAAGAAAAGAGATGCAACGAAAGGGATAAAAACTTTGAGCGTTTTCGGACTTCAGGAAATGAGAGAAGAGAGATTAGGATTTGATTATATTCTTCATGGATTGAATAATCACGGGGAAGGATTACAATATATAGAGAGTAAGGGCATGCTAGTTGACCTAATGGGCTCGAGCTCGTACTAAATCCTAAACTAGATTAACTATAGAATATTAATAAAGAACACTAATGAATAAATAATATAGTTAATCTACTATCGTACCATTGGGATTGTTCCAAACCAACTAGGAAATTGACCTTACCCGAATTGCAGAATCTTGATCGCAGAAATGACCAACTTTTTGGTCCTGTTCCTGAAGTTCAGGATTTCATTTCGCTTAGATTTGTAGACTTATCTCTTAGCCGTTTCAATTCTTCACTTCCTATCACGTGAGATAATTTAACCAGGACTTGAGTACACATCCGAATATATGATCTTAGATAGGAGCATCTGGATATTAAAGTAGTTGGGTAGTCGTTTGGGTCTTGGCGATAGGTTTTGTCAAGGAACTCATTCAACTAAAAACTCGAGCTTGTGGGCTTTGTAGTTGTGGCCCAAGAAACGTTATTTATATTCCAACATGATGTCCTCACATGCAGTAGTTTTTTCAAACCTTGCACATGAAGCCTTAAATTTTGAAAAAACTCGGTGCGATATGAAAGAAGAAAAAAGAAGAAAACTCTATTCCTACCAAAACTAAAACATGCGATATGAAAGAAAATAATAATAATAATAATAATAATAATGATAATAATAATAATAATAATAATAATAATAATAATAATAAAACCATAATATGCGGTCCAACAGTTTTTTTTATATATTCTAAAAGGTTTTCCTCTTGTTGTGTGTGCTTTCTATGGTTAGTGCCTTTTGTCTCTCTGCACTCTTCTTTACTATTAGTTTGCTCTTCTCTTACTTTCTTATTTTGTTTGTGCTTTGTGTGCCTTCTTTGTTACTCAAACTGAAGTTTCTTGGAAGCAACTTCTCTACTTTTGAGTAGGGGTAAGGTCCCCCGCCCTTCCTAGACCATATTTTCGCGGGTTGTTGTTGTTGTTGTTGAATACCTTCCCCCCACTGACAATGGTTTCTTGCAGGGCAAAATTCATGAATCGTTTGGCGAACTTTGCAATTTAAGAGTAATTGCCTTGTCAAATATCAATCTTAGTCAGGATATATCACAACTTTTAGAAATTTTCTCAGGATGCATATCAGATGGATTGGAATCGTTAGATTTGAGCAACAACCGAATTTATGGCGAACTGAATGATCAATTAGGACAGTTCAAACACCTCTACTCGCTTGTTTTAAGTGACAACTCCATTTCTGGTGTAATCCCAATGTCCCTAGGAGAGCTGTCCTCCTTGACAACCTTACGTCTTTTCAATAACAAATTGGAAGGTCCTATCCCGTCATCTTTAAGGAAGCTTTCCAATCTGAGACATCTGGACCTTTCATCTAACAGATTGAATGGTTCTATCCCATCTTCTGTTGGAAAGCTTGTGCATTTGACAAGATTAGAACTTTCTGATAACAATCTGAGTGGTCCTGTCCCCTTCTCATTCGGAGAGCTTTCATCTCTGGTCGTTTTAGATGTTTCTAGCAACAACCTGAGTGGAATGCTCTCTGAAACTCATTTTACAAACCATACAAGTCTCGCCTATTTCAGAGCGCAAGGAAATTCACTGAGTTTGAAAGTTGATCCTAACTGGATCCCTCCATTTCAACTGGAACTCCTCTATCTTGGATCATGTCAATTAGGACCTCTGTTTCCACTCTGGGTATTTACTCAGAAGAACTTGGGTTACTTAGACATATCCAACTCTGGAATTGAAGGTAACCTTCCTCATAGGTTTTGGAGTTTTGCTTCTCAATTATTAGTGGTGAACATTTCTCACAACTGAATTTGCGGACAAATGCCAAATTTAACTCAGGCACCATTCAGGGCATCGTTAGACTTCAGCTGGAACAGATTTTCAGGTCCATTGCCTCGTGTATCACACAATATAACAAGACTAGACTTTTCGAGTAATGGATTATCGGGTGCGATTTTCCAGTTCCTGTGCGACCAGAGAGATGGAGCCAAAGGTCTGAAGATACTCAACCTCAGGAGCAACTCATTGTCTGGAGAAATACCTGATTGCTGGACGAGTTGGGGGCTACTTGAGGCCTTGTATCTTGAAAACAATAAATTCATAGGCCATTTCCCCCCTTCCATTGGAAGTTTGAGTAACCTTCAGTCGCTGCATCTTCGAAAAAATAACTTCTTGGGTACATTACCTGCATCACTTGGAAATTGTAATCATTTAGTCTCGCTGGACATTAGTGAAAACAGGTTTTCAGGGAACATCCCATCTTGGATTGGCGAAAGCTTTTCAAGTTTGCTTCTTCTCAACCTACGCTCCAATGAACTTGTTGGTCCTTTACCACATCAACTCTGTCACTTGGATGCATTACAAATTCTGGACCTGGCTTCGAACAATCTTTCAGGGACCATACCCGGGTGTTTTGGTGATTTCTCTGCTATGGTGTCTGTGGACTACTCCACTGGAAATGACATTTACGATTTCGTCGATTTCACAGGAGGAATCATGGAGGACGCGGTACTCATGTACAAAGGTGGAGGGAAAGAGTTTGACAGGACTCTTAATCTGGTGAGAATCATGGACCTCTCTGATAACAATTTCTGGGGAGAAATCCCTGAAGAGCTCACTAAACTCAAAGCCTTGCAATCGTTGAACTTGTCGCACAATTGCTTGGCCGGGAACCTTCCTGAGAAGATGGACACCATGAATTCATTGGAAGTCATTGATTTGTCAGGCAACCAACTATCAGGCGGGATCCCGGGCGGGTTTTCAAGACTCAACTTTTTGAGCTACTTGAACCTGTCGGATAACCGCTTGACTGGCCAGATTCCTTTGAGTACTCAACTGCAGAGCTTCAATGCATCTTCATATGCTGGCAATCGTCTCTGCGGACCTCCTCTGTCCCGGTGCTCTGTTCCTGCACCTGATGATGGAACCAGAGGAAATCACGACGACGACGATGATGATGAACATGAACGCGAAGTGAAATGGCTTTCAATAAGCATTGCTCTTGGTTTTGTGATGGGTTTCTGTGGTTTTATAGCTCCTCTATGTTTCAGCAGAAGATGGAATCACAGATATAATCTTTTATTGGATCACCTTGTGAACAAGATCTGCTGCTTCCTCAAATCGCTCTGCCCTCAATAACTGTGATCGCTGTGCCCTGAATTAACTGCTAAAATAACAGTTGCATATGTAATTATTGAATAATACGGAGTAGAATAATTGTATTACTTAGCTACTAGCAACATAAATGGCAAATTATATATAGAAGGATTATAACTAGAGTAATTTACCTAAATAGGACTAAAACATTATGACTTTCCCAATATAGGACCATATGTTTTTATTTCTCAATGTAGGGCTTTTGGTCATTATCAAATAGTCATTATTCAAATAAATGTCCATCATTACTGGACATTATTCCTCCCACAAGGTCATTATTAAGTCCTATTTAGGGAATAAAAAAGTTTAAGTCCTATATTAGGAAAGTCATTATGTTTTAGTCTTATTTAGTGCAAATTTCACTTATAACTAATGATTTTAAACCAGGATCGGAGGTCGACCCGGCGGGGAGGACGGGTCTTTCCGGGGTTCCGGGTCGACCTGCTTTTTTCCGAGTTTTTCCGGGTTTTTGGGGGCTTGTACCGGATCGGTTGTGTGTCTGGGTCGCGGTTCGACCGGTCAAACGGCCCGATCCGGTCCGGGTTTAATAACATTGATTATAACCTCAACTAGAAATAGAAATCAATAAGGTCTTGTTTGGTACACGGAATTCAAACTATGGAATTGGAATTGAGGACTTCAATTCAATTTTGGTGTTTGGTAGCACAAAAATTATGTGGATTTGGAATTGATAGTGTAAAAAATGAATTGGAATTGGTAGAATTCAATTCTATGGAATTAAATCCCATTGAATTTCAATTCCATTTCAATTCCAATTCTCTCAATTCCGTATACCAAACGAACCCTAGTAGAAGCCGACTAAAATACAAAGACTACCATAATTAATATTACCATTATTATTATTGATATTATTATTATTGTCTAACAGTAATTACTACTGGACTGAATTTATGTTCTGCCATAACAAATACTACCCGAATTATTATTGTGTTTTTAGTCTTATTTTATGCAATTTATGTTTCATGTGTATTTACTTGAATGCATTTAATAAAATGCACTGATTTTGTCTAACAACATTAATACGGAGTATAATGTAAACTCTTATTTTGATATTTTAAATACAAAACTCCTATTTTGATATTTTATTAATTTTTTACTTCTATTTAGAGTGATTTCTTTTTATTACTATTTAATTCTTCTTTTATGTATTAAAATAAAAAAAAATTACGCCAATTTAGCCAGAGTGATGCTCCAGCTTGGTTATATTTCTGTTCACAATCAAAACAAGACTGTACAATTACTTACACTTCCCTTCCCTTTCTTTTTTGATTGATAATAATCGAAGTCTTGAATTTTAAAAATTTCTAAAAAATAAATTAATCATCAACTTCTTAAAAATTCAAATGTATTTATATTGTGTACGGCGGTGGCATGGTGGCGCCCTTGACCAATCCGCAGAGAAGCTGGTTGTCCGGCAAGTTGTACTCGTCCCTCAAAGATCTCGCCGGAGACAGCACGCTGAAGTACATCTGCTGCCCCAGGTACGTCTTCTCCCACATCTCCGACCTCAGGTTCCACATTCCGGCGTTGTCCAGCGTCGTCATCACCGCCGCCCACGAGTTGGGGTACACCTGGATCGTGTGCCGGCTCACCGCGTCCACCAGGTTGTAGTTCCTCCTCTTCTCCGGGCCCCACCTCCCCGCCTCCATCCCCACCGCGAAGAACGAGTACCCGTCCAGGTGGTACGTCTGGATGCTCCGCTCCCGGTTCTCGAACACGATCTCCACGAAGTTGCGAAACGTGGCGTTGGCGACGTTCGCGGCGATTTTGATCTTCTTGAGATCCGACGGCGGCGCGTCGCTCATGACGTCGTACTCGAAGACCTTCTCCGGGACCTGGAAGTACTCCGCGAGCTTCAGCGGGGTCTCGGGGTCGACGTGGGAGACGCCGTTGAGCGCGTATCGGAGCTTTCCACCTTCCTGGACCTTGGAGTTTAAGATTCGGATTGTGCGGGTGATGTTGATCTGGCCGTAGTGGTAGGATCCCTGCGGGTTCGGCCGGGCAGCGCTGGCGGTGAGGTTCCACCTGAAGGATCGGAACTGGTTGATTGACCACGTGATGCCTTCGGTGTTTTCCTTGGGAGGGGGAGGGATTTCCGGGGAAGCGGGTACGCCTTTCCCTTCAGCGTAACCGATAACAGCCACCGTGGAGTATTGCTTCTTGAAGAATCTGCTTGTGGCGACCAAGTAGTAATCCTTAGGCTTTTGATCCGCGGTCACAAGAACGGAGAGACACTGGCCGACGTGAAGGTCCAGGGAGTCGTAAATGTTCTGCACCGTATGTGAACCCTCCATCTCCACCAGCTTCATTGTGTGCCCCTGAAACCTGAAGTTCACCGACGTCCTCATCCCCGCATTGCAAAACCTGTACCTGTAAGTCTTTCCGGATTCCATGGTGAAAAGCGGCGCATCGTTATCGCCGACCTTCCCGTGCTTCCCATTGATCACAAGGCCATCAGGCCTGGCGATGGACCGGCCGCTGTCCAAAATCCTCTTCAACGTCTTGTGTCCCTTCGTGTACCAATCACTCAAGAAAACGTCAAATTCTTCCGCAGGAGAGTCGAACGGGACGGGGATGAGAGCGCGGCTATGGACATTGATCGGTCCATACCCTCCGGCCGCACGGTGAAGGCCTATGGTCGGGAAGTAAAAATAGCTCCCGATCTGGTCCTTCACCTGGAACTTGTAGGTGAAGTTTGTGCCCGGAATGATGGGGCACATTGTCCCTGGAGTGCCATCCACCCACGAGTTCTTCCTCTGCTGGATCCCGCTCCAGGTGAAGAGAAGAGGCTTGTCAATCTCGTTGAACACGTTAACAATGATATTGTTGTTGGACGTGCAATTAATCCTGGGACCCGGGAATTTCCCGTTGATGAGGATACCCTGCTGGGGAATCCCCATCGGGGATATGACGCCGTAGGTGACCTTCCATGTGTAGAACAAGTAGGGGTCCTCCGCTCTCACGGCGGCGAAACAGAGCAAGAACACCACCACGATCGTGCCGCCTTTGTCCATGATGATGGCTGCCCCGGGTTTTTATGTTTTTTTTATTTCTATATTTTGGCGTTTATTTTATTATTTATCTATATCTATATATTTATTTTAACATTAGAAAAAAAAAAAAGAAGAAGAAGATAGAGGGGAGGGGATTTTATTTCTTCTTCTCGTTCTTTCAGCCATGGCTGTTCCCGCCTTTTATACAGTGTTTTTTTAGTAATGTCCTCCCGCCATTTTGGTGGCTCTCCTTGTTTTGGTATCCTAGATTTAAGCCCTTTCTCATTTCCTTTTTTCTAGTTGTTTTTTTTTTCTCTTCTATTTTTTTTTAATGCTTTTAATGTTTTTATTTGTGTGGTTTTCCATGGGATTAGTTGAGTTTAAAGACAAAAAAAAAGCTTAAATTTCGATGTGTTGATTCTTGGCCGGCCGATTTTGTGGTTGCGTGAGCTTTTGAGGCAATTTATGTAACTTCTAGCCTTCTACTTGAATACTTTTGTATGAGAGAGAACAAATCGGTCCTTATCTTATGAAAAAGTTCAAGAAAATCATTGATTTGTAAGAAATATAGCTAATACTTTGCTCTCTTTTAACAATTTAACATACTCCGTTCGCTCTTAAAAAATTGTCACAGTTTAATTTTTTTAGTCAAACAGTGATACTCTTTGACCGCAAATTATGGAAAAAGTATATATTTAGTCATCTACTTTTAACATTACATCACTTACGCCTTCAATTTTTCTCACACTTCTCTAATCAGGCTCCCACACCCGTTGTAGGTCCACAGTGCTTTGCTGGCGGCCGAGCGCACATGCTCTGCGGTTGGAAGACATACGAGTGAGGATCTGCCCCGAGTCTGAGTGGATGTATCCGGGCTTAGTAGGGACGTGTGTCCGAGTGTGGTTGTCACTTTTGGGCCTTGGTTTCCTTTAAGTCCCGCGCAGCCACCCCATTTTGTTCAGGTGTATACAAACAAGACTTATGATGAAGGACGCCCAATTGTTGTAAAAACTTCCCAAACTGATGATTCACATATTCTCGGTCATTATCAATTTGAAAATTTTTAATTTCTGTGCCAAATTGATTTTTGACCATGGAGTAAAAACTTTGGAATACTTTAACAGCATCAGATTTATGTTTAAGGGGATAAATCCAACAGAACTTAGTAGAATCATCCATAAAATTAATGTAAAAATGATGTGTGTGATTGAAGAAATACCCTTTTATAGTTAAAGGATATCATCAAAAATGTTAGTAACTTCGAAAATATAATGTTATAGTTAAACGATATCATTCTTAGAGAACTTTTTTGAATTGCTAAAGCTAAACATCGAAATTATTGCGGAAGAGGCAACATGCCATTATATTACTATGCTAGATTAAAGTAAAATACTAAAATGAATAGATACTACAATGTAATTGAGTCAATAATACTAAAGAGGAAAATTCTAAAGCAAATCTAAGATTCTCATAAGAAACATATATAATAATAAACCATCTTATATAAGCAATACATTTTTGTTGTTGTTGTTGTTGTTATAAAGATATTCAGTTCTTTTTTTATTATTTTATTGATTTGTTTATATGGAAGAGAGTAGTAACTGAAGTAATTTTCAAGTATATATGAATGGAAACTAATCTAGAATTTTTTGTTAATATGAGTCTTATTTTGGAACGAAAAGAGTATTAAATAATTTATTTACACAATATTTTTCTATATAGTTATCAACGATCTTAAACATTTACTTTCAAATTTATTAAAATATATGTATAGTTTTATTTATTATATTATCATTCTATAAAATTTAAAATTACCATACTTAATGAGTTTTTTTATTTTGAAAATTGATCAATTTGAGAAAAATATTTAATTAGAAATGCCCATTTTGAAAAATTATTATAAATTTTAACGTTGTTTTGACAGTCGTTAGTTGGAGGACTAAATTGAGCATTATACTATATTAACACATCTTGATAATAACTTCATCTCGGGCAAATTTTAAAAAATACGGATTACATATTTATTAAGTTTTGATTTGGAAATTTACTCAATAGAGTTAATATTATTTTTTTTTTGCATGATCAATAGAGTTATTATTGCTCAAAGAAAAGGGAGAAAAACAACTAAAAAAGAGGAGGGGGAAAGAGCTTGAATCTAGGGAAATGAAACAAGGAAAGCCATAGAAATAACGGAAGGGTATTATTTAAAAAAACTCTTTATAAAAGGTCGGAGCCACCATGGCTAAAGGAGAGAAGAAGCTAGAAAGAAACTCCACCTTCTCTCCTTCCTTCTTCTATTTTTTTTCCTAATTTTAAAATAAATGTATATAAATAAATAAACGCCAAAATATACAAATAAATATTTAAAAAAACCCGGGGCAGCCATCATCATGGACAAAGGCGGCACGATCGTGGTGGTGTTCTTGCTATGTTTCGCCGCCGTGAGAGCGGAGGACCCCTACTTGTTCTACACCTGGAAGGTCACCTACGGCGTCATATCCCCGATGGGGATTCCCCAGCAGGGTATCCTCATCAACGGGAAATTCCCGGGTCCCAGGATTAATTGCACGTCCAACAACAATATCATTGTTAACGTGTTCAACGAGCTCGACGAGCCTCTTCTCTTCACCTGGAGCGGGATCCAGCAGAGGAAGAACTCGTGGGTGGATGGCACTCCAGGGACAATGTGCCCCATCATGCCCGGCACAAACTTCACCTACAAGTTCCAGGTGAAGGACCAGATCGGGAGCTATTTTTACTTCCCGACCACGGGCCTTCACCGTGCGGCCGGAGGGTATGGGCCGATCAATGTCCATAGCCGCGCTCTCATCCCCGTCCCGTTCGACTCTCCTGCGGAAGAATTTGACGTTTTCCTGAGTGATTGGTACACGAAGGGACACAAGACGTTGAAGAGGATTTTGGACAGCGGCCGGTCCATCGCCAGGCCTGATGGCCTTGTGATCAATGGGAAGCACGGGAAGGTCGGCGATAACGATGCGCCGCTTTTCACCATGGAATCCGAAAAGACTTACAGGTACAGGTTTTGCAATGCGGGGATGAGGACGTCGGTGAATTTCAGGTTTCAGGGGCACACGATGAAGTTGGTGGAGATGGAGGGTTCACATACGGTGCAGAACATTTATGACTCCCTGGACCTTCACGTCGGCCAGTGTCTCTCCGTTCTTGTGACCGCGGATCAAAAGCCTAAGGATTACTACTTGGTCGCGACAAGCAGATTCTTCAAGAAGCAATACTCCACGGTGGCTGTAATCGGTTACGCTGAAGGGAAAGGCGTACCCGCTTCCCCGGAAATTCCGCCCCCTCCTAAGGAAAATACCGAAGGCATCGCGTGGTCAATCAACCAGTTCCGATCCTTCAGGTGGAACCTCACCGCCAGCGCCGCCCGGCCGAATCCGCAGGGATCCTACCACTACGGCCAGATCAACATCACCCGCACAATCCGGATCTTAAACTCAAAGGTCCAGGAAGGGGGGAAGCTCCGGTACGCGCTCAACGGTGTCTCCCACGCCGACCCCGAGACCCCGCTGAAGCTCGCGGAGTACTTCCAGATCCCACAGAAGGTCTTCGAGTACGACGTCATGAGCGACGCGCCGCCGTCGGATCTCAAGAGGATCAAGACCGCCGCGAACGTTGCCAACGCCACGTTCCGCAACTTCGTGGAGATCGTGTTCGAGAACCGGGAGCGGAGCATCCAGACGTACCACCTGGACGGGTACTCGTTCTTCGCGGTGGGGATGGAGGCGGGGAGGTGGGGCCCGGAGAAGAGGAGGAACTACAACCTGGTGGACGCGGTGAGCCGGCACACGATCCAGGTGTACCCCAACTCGTGGGCGGCGGTGATGACGACGCTGGACAACGCCGGAATGTGGAA